GCAGCGCACGGCAAATGCCCAAGCATCGACTGGTGATGCCGGCCGCCGCCGAGGCCAAGCCCTCCTGAGAGCCAGGCGCCACGGGCACGTTTTTATGTTTTTTTTCTCCCTTTTCCCCTTCCAGGTGACGCTGATCAGGCCCCGGGCACCCGCAGCTTCCCCGAGAGCTGCAGTCCCATCTTTGGACGACTAACTGCGTTCTGCTAATTCCGGTAAACAACTAGGAGCACAGGGAGTCAGAAAGCGATTTCTTTCGGTATTTCTTGTCCGTTATTACCAAAGAATTCTGCCGATGTGTGCCGCAGCGATCCCAGCTGCGCTATGCGCTTTAGCTGCTGTGTTACTGGTGGCGTTGGCGTCCAGGGGAAGCACGCATCCCGCTGTGCCGCGCCAGTCACCCTGACGATCTGGAGATGCACCTTCAGGCGCTGCAAACCCACGCCTAAAACAGCAGCGCGCATCCGAGCGCTAATTCTCGGTTTGTTACAACTTCCATCGAAACACCCCCAAACGTTTTGCCTATTCGCCTTGAGCCGGGGGTGTGGGGGGGTGTGTGCGTGTGTAAGAGCTGCTCTCTCTAATATTTACGCCTCAGAAGAAACATTGTAATGGGCGAGCAGGAAAGCAAATCCACAGACTAAACAAACACCGGAATATTTAGATAACACGGAAGGGCTGGGTGGCGGGATGCCTTCAAGCGTTTGTCCCACGGGTAATGCTGCTACACGTTTGATCCCGCGCCCCTGTGCTGCTTTCAACTTCTGCGTTGCTGTTGGTGGGATTAACCTGTATTCTGAATTCTTTCTTCTCTCAGACTTTGCACTTCCTCGGCGCCTTCGCTGCTGCGCAAGGTTCTTTTGCAACGTGCCTGCGGGTTACGCATCCAAACTCAGTTTTTCCAAGAACTTCCCAATGTTGCAGCTCTGAGTTTCAGAGGGTCGAGCACGGTTACACGGTGCTATAACCGGCTCCTGAAACGAGACTCCGTACGCAGATAAAGACATATTTTTTAAAATCCTTTTTTTGAATTCTAGAGGAATTCAAAGGATCAGAGAGAGCTCCTTCCCAGCCCGGGCGGCTCTGCCCAAACCGCCCTATTCCAGTTCAATGAAGATGCGCTGTTTCTCGGGATGACGGTGCAACTGGGCTTTGAGGCAGCAGGTTCCCTACAGCGCAAGCAGAACAGCTGAGCGATCTGACCTTGGTGGTGAGCCTTGCTAACACGTAAGCACCAGGAAAAAACACTCCAGCAAAAAATTCTAAAACCAGAGCTTTATTTACAACAGTAAAAGCCAACCAAAACCACCACTGTTATGAAGACCAGGCTGTTCCAGTGGCCTTTCATCAGTCTTCTGTTTCAGAAAACCAAAACCAACTCGATCGATTCACCCGTCGTTCTCCCAAACGGAAGGAGTTTGGAGCTGCCCCACCTTACCGGAGAAGCAGGACGCAGAACCAGAGAAAGTCGTTGCTGCCTCCTTTCTGCCCGCCTTCCCTGCATGTTTTTTCCCAAATGTGGCAAAAAAAGGCGCCTAATCCAGTTAGGGTGGTATTTTGTTTGCAGTTTGGTACAGCTGGAATAAAGGACGACACGGTCCGTTTCCAGACCTGGGCCCGGGTTAGCCCAGGACAAAGGAATTCCTAATGGGCACAAGGGGAAGGCCAAGGGAAGCACCCAGCCGTTGATGAATATAGGCTTGCTGGAGAGGAGGAAGACTGCAAAATCAGAGGAGGAATGCTTTAGTCCCGCAGAGGTGGTCGTTACAGGAAGGTAAGAGAACCAAACAGGCACAGACTTTCAAAAAGGAAAACCAGAACAGGGGAGCAGCTGGTACAGACAACAGACAAGATGAAACACAGCAGCTCTGCTCGGCTGCTCTGGGAAGTGACAGGGTTATAGCACAGGCAGCGGAGGCTGGTCTGAAGAGAGAAAGAGTGTTTTATTTTAAATCCTTTTTTCTTTCTCCCAACAGGCACAGTATTTTTAAAGTTACAGATCTCTTGCTTCAATCATAGGCAGACTTAAAATAACTGAGCTACGGAAGAATACAGCTGGGGTCGGGACGCGAGCGAGCAGCCCGGTGAGCAGCCCAGCGAAAGGCAGGGAGGGTGAAGGGAAGATGGAGTTCCCAGCTACGGCGCTCCCGGAGCTGCGTGTGCCACCTCGGGAGAGGACATCTGGCACGCGCCGCGTGTTCAGCGGGAACGACTGCTTTGTAAACAGAACTGTAGGGACGTGCCTTGCCACGCCCCTCACGAGCATCGCAGGCACGGGTCCCCAAAGCGCTATGAAAGGCAAAGCAAGAGTTTCTCAGGTTACCTTCTACATGAATAAATAAACAAGCAAATCAGCCCTCCAACCAAATCCTTCCTTGACCTCCCACCACCACTACCCCAGCAGCACTGTTTAGGAGTCTCCCTTGACCTCAACCTCTGCCTTTAATTGCACAACGTCGTCCCACAGTGCTCTAATAGCAGGGTACCGTAACAACTGAAATTACCTGGACCTTTTGCTATCGGATTTTCTTTACACTGATTTAATAGTCTAAGGGAGCACTGGAAGATACCGTATGTGTGTAAATCAAGGTGGCTTACGGACTTTGCCCCTCCTTTCTTGCAGGGTTCATCCCCGGCTTTACCCAGAAGGATGATCAAGAAGACCAAGCTAGCATTTAAATGAAGTCTTCCTCCTCTGCGACTCTTCACTGCAGCAATTAGAGAGTATCAGGGTCCAGATCTACTGCTAATTTCATTTCAAAGCAGTTCAGATTTCATTTCAACCCAGGGACACCCAGGATACGAACAGGTCTCCAAGTCAAGGGGAAACTGAGACCAGGTATCAGCCGAGCGGCCACACTGGAATGTAAGTCACACGTTCATACTGCCAGATCTCGTAAATCAGCATCCTAAACTCTACAGCTTCCAAAGCTCGGCCGGTTTATTAAACTTTTGAGTATCGACAAGTCTCTGGATTTGCCAGCCACGTGTCCTCACGAGCCTAGTACCAAATATCAGTAAGGGAGGTAACAGAAAAGTGGCCCTTCAAAATAGGCTGCAAGACGTGGACAACAGGGCAAGAGATAAAGGTATAAGCGTTGAACAACATCAAAATCGTGTTATACATGAAAATCCGTTTAAAGTCAAAGATACTCATTTGATAAAGGGATGTCTGAGACCAGCCAGAACAATGACAAGGCGGCAGCGGAAGGAAAAGTTATTTGGAAGGTCTGTCTGGAACATCTCAAAGACTCCACCCCAGGGCAGACTGCGAAAGGCGTCGGACAAGTCTGTCAATCGTTGTGGTTTTTGTTCTGTAAAACGTGCCGAACACCAAGCTCAAGTCCCTGCTTTGGACACAAGATAGTAGAGGATGAAGAAAATAACAGAGCAACTTGCGATTATCCCTCCCGGACCGTGTCATGGTGGAGAAACGCTTCACACTGCCAGTTAGCAGGCCAGTCACGCTCATAAAATCCGAATCCTGAATGGGAAAGAAAATTGAGATGGAAGCATTATAAACAGATGAATATAGCCCTGAGGAATCTCCCCCTTCCTGGCTAAAAAACATTTGCACAGCAGCTGTCCGTGTCTCCGCGCTCACCGCGTCTCTTGGAACGTCCTTCCCCTCCTGTGCTCTGGCTCCAGGAGCGGCACCGCTCCCACCACGCCCAACACAGGGAAACGAAAAGGACAGGGGAAGGGCTGTTCCAGAGGCCTCCCCAGCTGCCTCCCCTCTTCTAAAACAGGGTCAGGCTACCTGCTGCTGGACTGTTCAGTTGTACCTACGCCGCTTACCCTGCCTGGAACAGCTTTTTAACAGCGACTCTGCAAGTGAACGCTTCATCCAAAGGAAATGTCCCTACGTGAAGCTGGTGCCATTAATGTACACCGGGGCGGGCTCACGAGCACAGAAAAAGGTGCCATTTCTTGCCATTAGTTCTATTTTTTCTTCAGCGTGTGCAACTCCACCAAAGGGTGGCAAACAATTCTCCAATTAATGCAGTTTAGGCATATTCATTTTGACTTCGGGTCTGGTTTCCTTATCCACAAACTACTTGGAGCTTCTGCTCATGTTGCTCCCGAAATGCTTCAAAACCTTCTCTGTAACAGAAGCACAATTTCATGCTGACTGGGGCATTCTTCTTTACGGTCTCTTGCCATTACACCTTTTATTCTGATTCTCCGTTCTCCTAGTTTTCGGGCTGAGCAAATATCCATTTCAGACACTCCAACACTGTCAGCATACACTGTTATTAAGCTTCCAAGCTGAGCTTACACCTTTGACTCAACTGGTTTCAACACTACAATTATCTTTTCTCTCGCTTCCACGCACCAGCTCTCCAACACCCAGCACGTGCAGAAAAGGCTCTCCAAGCACCAGTGCTACGGCGCTAATCTCCTTCTCAAATCTCTGGGCTGGATTCCCTTCCTCTCGCAATTCAGTTAACGAATTACCTTTCTCCTAAAAAGCCTCGCAGGTAACCCCTCTGCTCCAGGAATGGGCTATTCTGGCCTTTCCCCAGGGCACTGCGATTTCCATCAGCAACCACAGCTTAAGAGGCAGATTACCCTGGAAAGCGATTCTGGTTTTATCGGGTGTTGTGTGTCAGAAAGTTGACAGAACAGGGCGCTGAACAACCTGAGTGGACGCAGAGCATCAGCTTTGCTCCTTCCAAAGACGTCAGGGAACTACAAAGCCCTGACAGGCAGTCTGTGTTTCAGGTGTTACAGTAAGGAACCCCGACAGATTTATACAGCAATACCAAAAATCACGGGAGCAGCTGAGGAACAGGCCCATCTCCCAGCATTACCCACAGGAGGCAGCTCTTTAATCCTAGTAAGGAGCTCATCTCCGCGTCGCCCGTTCGGACAAAGCGATACCCGCAGCTGCTCAGTACCTGATGTTTATCAATCAAGGAGTCCACTGGAAACGGGTTTAGTTACATTCCCTGGTTTGCCAAACCGACCACTGGGCTCTAACTTCGTCTGCTAACTTTGAACTGCTATTAAACTTTCACAGTCAAGGTAACTGCTGAGAGCCAGCCCAAAAAAGCCACGCTTTTTCCATCTCAGGGGTTCCTTACCATGCCATCCAGGTAACGGTTTTGGTCGTCAGCATCTTTGTCAATATCCAGAGCCAGCTACGCAGGATGAGGGAGGAAACGGTTATTAATGAACTTTTAATGTAGAGAGAGCCTCTAACGCATCTAGTGCTGGTAACATTTGACATGCACATTAGAAAAGCAAGCCGCTGCTTCTCCGTCTCCTACACAGATGGACCGAGGCTTGTTCGGTCGAGGAACAAAACACGATTCTCATTTTGGTTTCAGGTTGTTGAACTTTTTCAGCTCTGGAGCGCTGAAAATAAAGCTTGACTGTCTGACACTGTCCTGTACAGGACATCGTCGACCAAACATCAGGAATGCAGAGTCTTCCCTTCTACAAGGCGAGTCACTGACTTCTATTAAGCTCTAAATCAAAGTATTTAATGTTAGTAGGAGCAAACTAGCTTTACGAACATCACTCACATAGAGACGTGTATTTTTCAAAACTAATTGCGACCTTTTTCCCGAGGAGGAGTGCTTAGCGATCCCCCTCTCTGCAGCCTTTATGCTTCTCCCTGTGCCTAAAACTCCTTCCCTGAGTGCCGCAAAACCCACATCATTCCCATTAGATGATGTCGCTAAACCTCCAAAGGAAAGGGGAAATTTACAAAGCTGTCCCGGGCATTTCACAAGTGAAAGTTAACCATTATATCGCCCACAACTAAGAGTCATGAATACATAGGAAGCCCTCTGTATTGGCCCCAGGCTTGCATCTCCAGCAAGACCCTGCACGAACAAGCTGGACAGCCGATGCCCGTTCCTTCCCCGCGGCACCTGGCGCGAGCTCGGCGACTCACCGACTTCAGCCTGGTGACCTTGCTGGCGAGGCTGTCTGCCATACGCTTGTTCTCTACGTCCAGCATATCCTCCACGGCATTTGGACTCTGACCTGGGGGGGGGAAAGAGGAGAATGAGTTTTATCTGGCCTGATACAAGTACCGGTGTATCTGCTCACCCAACGTGGCGGGCGAGGCAGAGCGAGCTCGTTGCCCGACCGGTCTCTGGCTTGCCACGGAGGCTGTTACAGCCGCCTCCTCGCGCCGCGGCCCCGCGGGGTTTGCGCCACGAAACGCTCCCAACTCTTTTTGACGAGAACACACCAAGCCTTCCCCAAAGGGAGCGGGCCAGAAACCCCGACAGGCGCCCGAGCCGCCACCGCGGCCCAGCGGCTCGAAGCAGCACAGGGGCTTCGTGCCCCGGCGCTGCCCCAGTACGGGACTGGGGCGAAACCCAGCAAGCCGGGGCCCA